TCATATTCCACTATAATAGGAATCCACAACATATTTTGTATAACTCGTATTATATTTTAACAGTGAAATGCTGTTCTCTCCTGTGCTATTTCGCTGTCATATTTATTTGCCTTTTATTAATGATTTCGCCTGTTATTGATCGCATGCTTTTCTCTCTTGCAGATATTTTTGCTTCTCATCATTTTGCTCTACTTTAGCTCCTATGTGATCGTGTCTCGCTTCCGACGACGCGATCGCGACGATCTCTACTCAAACGACGAGGACGAAGTTCTCGTCTATCGCATAAGGTAACTCTTTGTAACTTACCTCCAATCGATACGCATTCACCTGGCAATATCCTTTGCAGCTTTTGGTTGTGCACCTTCACGTTGGCCGTGGCTGAGGGTGCGGCTATGCTCCTGCCCGTTTCCATAGCAAGCAACGAGGTGCTGCTACTGTATCCCAACAGCTACTACGTGAAGTGGTTGAACAGCTCCCTAATACAGGGTAAGTGGAGACTGGTATAGAAACTACGAGAGTTCTGTTGATATTAATATGTCTATGTTTTCGTTGCAGGTTTGTGGAATCATGTGTTTCTCTTCTCGAATCTGTCGCTGTTCATCTTTTTGCCCTTTGTGTATCTGTTCTCTGAGTCGACGGGCTTCGTGGGCCACAAGAAGGGCATCCTGGCCCGAGTCTACGAGACGTTCATAGTTTTCGTTCTCATGGCCATCATTGTGCTGGTGCTGACCGCCGTACTGAGCGCAGTGTTTGGCATTGAAAAGTTCCAGTTCTTTTGGTTTCTAAGTAAGTAGGAGCGAGAGCTGATTGTAACGGAAACAGATCCGCTTGATCGCCCAGCGGACTGCACCCACCACATGCAGATGGCATCTAAATGTAAATGCATTGCTAATTTCCGCTTTTTACGCTTCACAGATTTGGGCAGTGTTCACCTGCCGTTCCTTTATTCGTGTGTCTCATTTCTGGGCGTAATGCTTATGCTGAGTAAGTACAATACAATACATTTAACTAATCTCATTATAGTTTGTCATCAAGCTGTCTGATGAATTTGTCTATGTACGCCAGCTGCTGGGGGTTGTGCAAGCGCGCCTGATTCACACACTCCTCGAACAGTTCGGCATCGTTCTGTCGCTTGTGGGCGGTGGCCTTGTACAGCCAGGCGCGCAGATTAGACTCCTGCAGCTTGTCCAACACATATTGACAGTCATCGATGGCACGCTTGTAATTGCGGAGCCTGCGAATCAGATTTGGTCAGCAACTCAATTCACATTCACTTAGTCAAAGGAATCACTCACCTGATGAAGCACAGGGCTCGATTGTTATAGGTGATTGCGCTATTCTTGACGCGTTCTATTGCCTTACTGTAGTGCAAAATGGCCTTCTCAAAGTTGCCATTGCGAAACGCCTCGTTTCCATGACTGAGGGCACAGTAGATAGCTTTTATTACACACTTGATATCCAATGATATATGTATACTTGCCTGCGCTGTAGTTCCGCCTCATATTCACGCTTGGCACGTGCCTGGGCGCGCTCGTTAGCATCGCGCTCCACCTCCTTCATAAAGGCCTGCTGGTCCGAGGTATTGGGCGAGGTCGGCTCTGCGCTCTTTTTATTGATCACAGTGCGATCCTCGCGCACCTTCAACTTCACTTTATCCACATCGATGTGTTCAAAGTCCTCAGCCGTCTTCGCCTTGGGCGGATCGTCGACTGTTTCGGGCTCGCCCTTTAAGATTTGGTCGATCTTCTGCAGAGTCTGCTCGAAATCAGCAAAATCATCTTGGTCCTGCTGCTGCTGCTGTTCCATTTTGTGACTGTGAATATTGAAACTTGTATTGAGAATAAAATATTCCGCCTCGTTCAACGCTTGTCGGCAGTTTGTTTGATTGTTTGATGTTTGCTTGTTTCGACACCTTGGAAACGAACTAACGTTTTGTTATTTTTCGCCCCGCTTACTACGTTACACAGTTTGCACGCCGTACGGATTTGTGCGACTCTTTGGGGTTGTCAACCAGGTGCTGGTGCGGCCCATGCTGCTGCGTGACGTGAACGAGGAGTTCAGCGCATTCTACATGGAGGAAGCGAGCGTAAAGCGCAAGCTCGCCAACATTGAGCTTCAAAATGTGAGCATTTTGGATGCGACGAACGGGACTCGTCTGCCCAAGACCAATGGCATTGGTCGCCCACCGAGCTATCTGCCGCAGCCGCTGCTGCAACATTCCCTGGCGCATTTGTATCAGCGCAAAACGCTTAACGGGAATGTCGACGAGCATCAGATGCTGAACGAAAGACTGAGAGAGCTGGACAGTGAGCGCAAGGAGTTGGACAAGATGCGCAAGTCGAGCACCTTTCAGCGCACTTTCGTCTATCCGCTGGCCATGCTGCTGCTGCTCTTCTGCACGGCCGTCACAATACTCCTGGTGGTGCAGAACACATTGGAGCTGCTCATAGGCATCAAGGCGCTGCCGCTGAGCACAAGGGTAAGATTTCAATTGCAATTTAACCTTATATACAATGAATGACATTTAAATTTTCATTTTAGCAATTTACTTTGGGCATTTCGTCGCTTTCGAAACTGGGGCCTGTTGGCGCCGGCATGGAGGTGTGCCTAATTTTCTATCTGGGTGCCACCTCTGTGGTCGGCTTCTATAGCATGCCTTTTATGAGCAACGTGCGCCCGAAACGTCGCCAAACGTCGCTGCCGCAGCTGATGTTAAATTGCGGCTTCATGCTAGTATTGTCCTCGGCACTGCCGCTACTAAGCAGAATCATAGGTATTGATTGAGGAGCCCTGGAATACTTGACCTTTGTACTTTCGCTAATGCTGAGTGCTTATTTCGTTTTAGGCATTACCAACTTCGATTTGCTGGGGGACTTTGGTGCCATCGAGTGGCTGGGCAACTTTCAAATTGTCTTGCTGTACAATCTCGTGTTCGGCACAACGACTGCACTCTGCCTGGCCAATAAGTTTACTGCGACGGTGCGACGCGAGCTACGTGCACGGTTAGTGGAGAACTATGTGCTCTTTACTAACTACATGAGCTTCATCAACTGATATTTAAGACGGCGACGCAACAAAAGCTCAACCTGGCAGCGCCAGCGCTACGCTGACCAGCTGCTCAGGCGCTTTGTTGAGTCGCCCCTGAAGAGTCTAACTAGTTTATATGCCAATTACTACGACCTGAGTCGTAAAAGTAAACGCAGTAATACCACCGCTAGTCGCCAGGCAAACCAGATGGACTGTTGAGAGAAATGTGGAGGTGAACCTTCCAGCATGAATATAATACACTTTATACAGAACTGATATTGATATTTAAATGTGGCGCTGTTTATCGTTGTGCTTAATTGTTGTAGTTAATAGGGTCCCCAGAGGTGTACGTGCCGCATTTCAATTTTGTGTTCCCCGTTAATGCGCGTACACCCATCCCCACCACACAGACATACTCGCACACATTCATACAATATTCACATACGTGAACATCTAAAAAATGTAATTTTATATACAATCTTCGTGTACAACATAAACTGCTGTCAACAGAATAGGTTTAGGCTAAATTGTAGGCGTTTTTGAAAATTTTATTAGTCTGAGTCTATAGTCAACGTCGATGCGTTCGTGTCGATACCCCATTTCATATATATTTATTCAGTAATTTTCGTACATGTACTAATTTAAAGCAAATTTATTTACGCTTGCGTCTCATTGTCATTTTTAATCATAAACGAATAATTTATAATAATATATATATACATATGTATTTTAACAATAATGTTCCTTATATGGCGTACATTTGGATGCGCAATTCATTATTTCTATTGCATACTAAAACCAATCAACTAAACAAAACAAAATTCATCTAAAAGTAATGTGATAAATTGAAATAAAAATAGTTTAAAATTAAACCCTAATGGCTTTTTTCACTTTGCAAACTGAGCGGCATTTTTCCATAATTGATCTCTAAGAATCAAAATTAATTCTCAGTTTTATTTATTTTCAGTTTGACGGCTTTATTTTTGCTGGCCTAA